TTGCATGTTCCATGGCATCTTGGACAGCAGCATTGAGGCCGGCAACAGCAGAATCCACGGAGGTGGTACCATATACACAGGACCAGTCGTAAGTTGAGAGATTATTATAAAGCAGTGCATAATCCCCAAACAAAAATTTACGGTACAAATATTTATAATTTTGAATACAAGTGGCAAGGGACAAACAAATATTGATAATTAGTGGGGGGTGGTAATTGTCAGGCTTAATAAGTCCAGAGTCAACAGGAGTAATACTTATGTCGCTTAAGTTAGAAAAAATTAAATCAAGTAGATTGCTGCTGATGACATTATCAATGCACTGATTAAGATTTAGTAGACATGTGGAAGTGTAGATTGCATCTCCCTTAAGTTTCGAGTAATAATGAGAATTGGGCAGAGCTAAACCACTTTTCCAGTCGAAACCAGGGGCATTAAAATCCCCAACCATAATTACTCGAAAATTATGGGTATCCAGATTGTTTTCTAAAAAACGAAAGTAATTAGCAATGTTTTCAGGATTAGTGTCAGGGGGAAAGTAATTATTTCCAATGAGTAAGCTGAGGCCGTCTGAAGTGGGGATTTCAACCCATACACATTCATCGCAAGATTCTAAATCGTATCTGCATTTACAAGAGCGAATTTTGGAGGACAGGGCAATGAGAACTCCACCACCACGTGACTTATTTACAGACACCCTGTCAGAATGGAAAACTGTATAGCAGTCAGGAAATAAATTATGATCGTAACACAGGTGACTAATTATAGACCGAACTCTTTATTAACTACAGTATCTGAAAAAATAATATATGATAAGACTTTTGCGACATATCGAAGTTAATAACATTTTAATAACAGAACAGTCTGACTTCAGACCTTGTGCATCAACAGAAAAGACCTCCTATAGATTGAATGATGAAATATTAAATGCACTGAACAACAGAATGGTGGTTGGAGGTATCTTTTGTAATTTACATAAAGCCTTTGACTGTGTTAATCACAACATTTTATTAACAAAACTGGAGTTTTATGGAATAAGAGGAATATCACTTAAACTAATTAAATTGTACATAGAGGGTAGATAGCAAAGGGTGATCTTAAACAACAACTCTCCTGATTCTTGCTCAAACTGGGAAGTGATATGGCATGGAGTCCCACAGGGATCAATATTTGGTCCTTTGCTTTTTTTACTTTACATTAATGACCTACCAAAATCAATAAATGGTAATACTGAAACAGTTCTATTTGCAGATGATACTAGTATAATTATTACTAGCCTCAACCCAATAAATTTTTAAATAATGTCAATAAAGCTTTCCAAGATATATATAGATGGTTTACTACTAACCTACTGACATTAAATGCCGATAAGACTCAATCTATGCAATTTGTAACTAAGACTAGTTCTTTGCTTGATTTAAACATCATGCACGGGAACAAGAAAATATTTAATATTTGTAATACAAAATTTCTTGGATTAACATTGGACAATACTTTCTCTTGAGAGATTCACACAGATACAGTCATACCAAAACTAAGTTCAGCTTGTTGTGCGATTAGAACAAGTAAGCCTTTCTTGTCCCAGGAATCATTGAAGATGGTATATTATTCTTATTTTCGCTCGATTATGACTTATGGACTAATATTTTGGGGAGATCCTCATTATAGCAACATAATTTTCAGACTACAAGAAAAAAGCTATTAGAATTTTTATGGGGATTAGGGATAGAGACTCATGCAGAGAGAACTAAAAATTTTAGTTCTATTTTTATTTCTATTTTAGTTTTATTTTTAGAGAATTAAAAACACTACCACTAAAATCTCAGTACGTATATTCACTTTCACTGTTCGTGATTAATAACAGACACCATTTTAAAGTAAACTCTGAGGTACACAACATTAATACGAGGACCAAATCTGATTTGCATCATCCATCACCTCATCTGTCAGATTTTTAAGAAGGGAACTTATTATGCTGGGATTAAGGTGTTCAACAGCTTACCTGTTTCAATAAAAGATCTGTCTCATAATACGAAACAATTTAAATTCACCTTGAAAAATGTATTCTACTCCCATTCATTTTATACAGTGGACAAGTATTTTAAATACAGGATGAATTCAACTTTTTATAATGTTGTATTTTAGCGTCCTGTTGCACTGATTTTCGTCCATGATATATATACAGTGTCCGTCTTGCAGTGCATCCACTTTTACCTGTCACTTCACAACATGTTTCGGCACCACAGAGCCATCATCAGGTGCTCCATTTACACTAATCTATTGCATTGCATGCCATTATGTCAATGTCAAATTATTTAAAAAGTATTTTAAAATATTCGTCAGTTACAATAAATTTTTTGTATACTAAAATCTTGTAAAGATATTCATCTTATCTGTTCCAATTCAAAACATGTGCATGGTTCCTCCAGTATGGCAGTCGTTCCTCTTACATGGCGTGTGTATCATGTCTCGTGATGTGTGTTCCCTTTTTGGCTGCGGGTGTTAGTTTCATTCAAGGTGTAGGATTAATAAAGGGTTAATCCGAAAGAGAAGCAGAACAGATAATCAAAGGTCACAGTGGGAGAGCCGCACTTTATGGCCCATTCCTTACACACATACACAACCATACAAACTTTCCATTGTACATGTTGGTTAAATTAGTGAATGTGGCTGTAAGAGGACTAGTTTCTGTTCTCATAACTAACGTATGTAAATCGTGACATGTTCTATATCCAGTGGCTTTTGTAGCCAATTAGGATCTATGGATATTAAAATAAAGATACAAAAATATACCTGAAACTCATTCTGTTAGAGGTTGAGTCGACCCCTGGACCATAGTGCGGATGGAAGGATTAGATCAACTGAAAAAAAAATCCATCTCATTGGATTAGATCCCGCGACCTTCCGACTTGTAGCATAGTGCCCCTTACCGGTATCCACATACAGTAACTAAATGAATACTATATTTCAGAGCAATTCAAATAGTTAATACTGGTTATATAATTCTTTCTTCTGTATAAAACTCATTCGATACTCTTTTTTTACGAACTTCCTCAAATGTTGCTTTCCGTGAGATCACTCCTCACAACTTATATAGTATTCATGTTCTATGACCTATATATTTGCATGCACGAGTGTGTAATACTTTTCTTCCAAATCTTCCACTTTCCTCCTCATACTTCTGGCACTGCAAAAATCCACAGCGTCTTATAGACGAAATATTTCTTCATCTACTAAGTTAAGCAGCACCGAACACGCATTCCTACAGCCTTTCCTTTTTGCTTTTTCAGTGAAACTATAGTCGTGACCGTCGTGACCGTCGTGACGGTCGTGACCGGTCGTGACCATCTTGAGGATCTTGAGCGCATTAAAAGTATAGCCTGGGCCAATATGGCAGTATGCGCACGATTGTTTTTAAAATGGGAATGTGATTGTACGAAAAGAAAGCAAGCGATGTTTAATTTAAATATGTAATAATGTAATAAATAATTTATTTCTCTTACTGATTGTCAGATTTTTTGGTATGAAAGTTGCCCTCAGGCACGTAAAGATGTCTGGAATATTTGAAAAATCCCTTGAATCTATTGGGTCTCTATTATCACCACTGGGGACCAACGTTGGATTAAAACATATGCTTGAAAGATGTGTTACTTCCCGAACAAAAAGAGTACGTACTTGCAGAAATGACTGAAATATCCCTGTTATAATGTGTTCAGTATGAATGTCTAATTGTCTGTTTTTATTTCAGGAGGAAGAGTGGATGATACGAGATTGCCTCAGACTTGTAAAAGCAAAGCTCTCAGAACCATCCAGCAAACCATCCACTGTTATTAAATGCCTTGCATTTTCTATCTTTTCGGAACTATCGGGTTACAAAGCAGAATTTGCTTATATCCATGCTGTAAAGTTGGCTCAGAATGGATCATTAGCAGAAAAGAAAATGGGTAATGTATTTTGAACAAGATTTGAATATAAAATTAACTGGGTTATTAAAGTACAGACTATCTGTTTGAGGGTTAACAAATGGAAGGCTTTGTGAATCCGTTGTCATGTATTTAATTTAAATACTGAACGTCTTGAACAACTATTGTACGTATTCCAAGAATATGTTGTGGGAGGTCTTCCCACTGTAAGTTCAATTCATTCATGTTTCATTGTCTTCACTGTTATCTTGTGTATTTGTTCAAACTGTGTTTTGTGACACTGTTGTGCAATACTGTGTTTTTCTTTGTGTCTTTGATCAAAATGTGTTTTGTGACACTGCTGTTATGCAATACTGTGTTTTACTTTATGTCCTTATTGTGCTCATTATGAATGTATGTATATGTCATTATTTTATGTTTATATTATATTTGTATCTTGACAGGTTCTATATCCCATAGGTTGGTTTGACCTTGTATGGATTAACAGAATGCATATAAATGAATCAATGAATGAATGAATAAATGAATGAATGAAAGATATTAAGGTCAACTGCTATATGTGAACCTGATGTGGACAGATATTCTTGTTGTAAATTTTGTGTCTTACCTAAAATGAGATTTATCTGCGTTGATACAGTCACCTTTTTCCTGAGACATACCCAGCATTGCACAGGAAATGAATGTTGTAAAATATTAATTACTTTCTTATGAGGACCAATCTCAGTAGTGCGGGGTTGTGACTGACATTGCTGTGAAATTGAAGAATCAGGCATGGCTTCCTTTCTCTTCCACCCCTTGTACTCTTATTACTTAGCTGTATCTTCCTTTGAATTCCACTGATTCACCTGATATCAATCTCATTCCTTCAGGGAGTATAAGCTCTCAAAACTTCACTTCTTTGTCATTTTTGAAATCCTGGAAACTGTTTGCCTTCTTCACATGTGTTTGTCACTAACAATCATTGGTCATTAAAATTGGTAACAAATAGTCCTTGGGATAGAAGCTGGAGGTGAGCATGAGATGGCAGCCAGTTGTGTAATGTAAGTGCATAATAGGGTTGGGTTGTGCTGAATTTTGCAACTGGAGTAGTAGCTATTTCTTCACTTCACTGCTGATTTTATGTGACTGTGATACTCAGTGGATGAGGGGTGTTTTATGTCACTATTCTGGGATGGAAGGATACAAGCAATTCTTTTCCTCTTTCTGATGCATCCAGTTACAGTTTTTTTTACTTCTCAGCTCGTCTTGAATGCAAAGCCTTTAGTACAGAAGGCTATTTACTAACCCCTGGTCCACCAGGTCCCCTGTTTTGTGTAAAGAGAAGTAGTATATGCTTAAATGGCATAGCAGAGGGTAATATGAGAGTATATGAAATAACTGAAGTTGTTGGATAGAACCATCTTCCAGGGTTCTGGGGTTTGTAACATTGCTTCACTCCCCATTTCTGAGGGATGCAGCAAACTGAAGCATTGTGTCCAATTCCTCTCAGTTTGATCACAAAATGGAAAGAGGAAAACATTTCAACCCTAAAGATAAAGGCAGCGTATTTCTGCAAAATGTCAATATCCACCTACAAAACTACACATTGTCACAAACAAGTAGACTACACTCTTAACAGTCACTGTTGAGAAAACCTCAACACTTATAAGAGGGAAATATGAAGTAATATTTAATATATACTCTTTAATTCCTAAAAGGTAATGGAAGAAGTTGCTAGTTGTAAAATAGTAAAATACGTAGTAAAGACAAGCAGCAGCACCCACACAAGAAGACTACATTAAATAACACCTGTACAGTGTGGAAACAAGAACTAGCCGCTCCAGCACTTTAGACATAGGGCGAGTAACCCTAAGAATTTTAAATTTTAAATTTAAAATTTAGAGAAAATTTTAAAAGATTTAAAAACATCATAACTAAAGATTTTATAGTGCTACTACAGGAATATCAAATTTGACGTGTGCAATATAATCTACATACCAGACACATATCAACGAGGTATATGTTGATAATACGAAGAAAGTGACATTGTGTTTTTAAATGTTAAATTTTAGACTGGGTTCAGTGTGGCAGCAACATTGAGAGTATACACCTGATGATGGCCGATAGAGGCCGAAACATATAGTGTAGAAAGAACAAGATCAAAGACATATAATATTGTGACATGTTGCGCAAAGCCGAGCCCCCCCCACACACCAGCAGTGACGCGGTGGGTGAGTCAGCGCTCCCCTCCCACCCCTCAGCGGTAACGTAACGCTCGCGTAATAGGCGAGTAATCACCCCGCATCCTGGCAGCTATGCGCGGTGACGTCACGAGCGGAGCCGAAGATAGCCGAGCCCCGTAACCGGGTAACTATGCAAGGCGAATCAACAGCGGTGACGTAACAGGATGACGTGGCACTCTACGCAACAAGCAAGCACTGCAGCTATATAAGTGAGCTGCACAGCTGGTACCAGTCAGTTGTACTGTAACAGTCGCCGAGTCGAGTTGTACTGAGTCAGTCAGTGAGTCCTGGAGCTACCGCCGAGTTAGCCAGCAACTAGTCAGTTGTGTTGTGGCATTTGGAGTGTACTAATTGTGATACTGCAGATAGCAGTAACCGTAAATCTGTAATTTGGGTGATTGTAAGTGCAAATGTGAAATAAAATTCGCTACATCAAATACATCGAGAAGTTATTTGTCGCGATATACGCCAGACACGCGACAATATATATTGTTTGCACTTGGGACGGAGCTTGTATCATTTATCGTGTAGAGTGCAACAGGATGCTTAAATATAATATTGTAAAATAGTAATTATGTGTGTATATAAAACAGGAATCAGAATTTACAGACTTGCACAAACTAAGTGACAAACCATCAGTCCTTCTGCCGTCGTAATACATAACACATAATTTAAATGTAATGTCTTCCTGTGTTCATATATTTTTGAACTGCAAAATCAATGATTTTCCCAAATAATTAATGGGTTTCAAATACTTTTACTGTCAACAAACAAGCTCAAATACAAACTTCTATGTTTAGAAATAATACTAATTTGAGGTTTAATAGTGACATTTCTTTGCCACTACATGGGCTAGTTCTGTTGTGACTCCTGTGTTGCCAGAGCCTTCTTTGCTAAAACAGGATGGTTAGGCTTAAACAGGCTTCATGTTACTTGTCATACTCCAAACATCACAGTAAAACCACTTAAGTCAATATTTTATTTTTATGAAGCTTTAAAAATCTGTCTGTTGTTGTTTGCCATATGGTGTCCATCATTTAGTAAAAGACTAAATAAGAAGAAACAGTTAAGTTTTACTAAATTATTATACCAGTAATCATATTACTATATCTGTGTTTTTAGGCTACTTGGCTTGTGCTTTTCTTCTGCGTGAATGTGACTCACTCGCTGTTCTGCTAGTCAACACGATTCTTCGTGATTTAACAAGTAAGAACATATATGTGGTAGCCATGGCTCTGTGTGCCAGCTGCCATGTCTTTCCTCATGATCAGGTGACTGTTTTGCTGCCTGTTCTGGAGGAGAAACTTAAACATCCCAGCGTGAGTAGAGTTTTGTTACTTACAAAATTGAAGTAACTGTACATCTGAGAAACTTTGAAACTCTTACATTGACTAACTGGCCAGGAATAGAGGAGTTTTGATTAGCTTCAGTTCAGGGAATTTATCAAATTTCAAGGTGTCTAAGAATTTAATGGCTTTGTGGGGTTTTCACCTTTGTTGTTCGTCATTACTCCGATGACAACCCACTTCTTTGAAACAGTTTGTTGGTCCTGAAAAGGACCGTGGTTGCTGAGATGCTTGATCGGTGAGGTAGCGCGGCGCGCGCTGGTAGGGAGAAAGGTTAGTTCCAGTGATTTGACTGGCCACAGCATGGCCGTTGCTGGAGGTTGCTTGATCGCCGTACGGCAGGTGAGTTGAAGTTGCGTGGTCGCACACCACAGTCGCAGGAGTGATGAGGCAGTGGCTACGCCAGATGCCCAGTGGGTCGGACAGGGACATGGCCACCGGCAAGTCCAGGCGAGGTGCCCCAGTGTGTCGGGTGTGAGAACCAGAGGGCCGAGGCAGTCGTGCCTGGCGCAGCCTGCCGATGCCTCCGAAGACCGAGCGCTGGCGACGGAGCCTGCTGGCTGATGTTGCTTGAGTGTGGCTTGATCATAGACTGAAGTCAGACTGATGATGCCGGTTTGCGGCTGCTCCCTTTTATACACTGCTCGGTGGGCGGAGCGAAACTTGAAATTGAGGAGGAAGAATTTGCAGGTCACTGATTGGCTAGCGCGTGTGATGATGTAGATGCGGGGCTAGCAGCGAGCCCAGTATAAATGCGAACATTTGGAGCAATTTGATTGGTTAGTGCGCATGATGGTGAAAACTGATGTGAAGAGTGCGTTGCAGAAAATGCGTGATAATGTGGGATGTTCCCACAGCTTCCTTTTTATTGGCACTTTTCATTTCCAGATTCTCAGCTGCAGTTATTACAGTAGCTACAGTATTTATTGAATACTTCTACTACTTCCTTAGAATTAGTCATTTTGAGCCATGTTCAAATATTGCTATTCATTCTACACAGATGGAAAAGAATACTAATGTAGAGTGTATTTGTGCCATCTGTGATGTTTTCAGTTAAATAAATAGTTTTTAGCCACATTAAATCTTTCTCTTTCTTCGAGACTGTCATTGTAACAGATGGTTATAGAAGTGTTAAGTCACACAGCACTGAATTATTCTATGGTTCAAAACTTGAAGCTGGTTTTATTACTGAAAGAAATTAATAAATTTGGAAAAAAAACGGCCTGCTCAATTTATGGTGCCATGACTTCATTAACAGTATAAGAAAAATCTATTACTAACAGATATATTCTCTGTACTGTTTTTTATCTGGATAATGAATTCAGACATGCTAAAGAGTTGATTCAGTTTGAGATAATCTAACGTATTTGTATGATTTTAATGAACATGTTCTGTTTATTTCATAGAACATACATGCTGACTGCATTTAAATATTGAATGGTCACTTACAGGATTATATTCGAAGCAAAGCTGTGATAGTCTTACACCACTTTTATCGAGTATTTCCTCAGCTGTGTTTGCAGTATGTGACTTCAGTCAAAGTTATGGTGGGAGATAAAGATCCAGGAGTGGTGGCCCATGTTTTGCAGTTCCTTTTCGTAGTTGCTGAGGTACATATAATGTTACAAAGGCAAAATAATACCGTCTAATGTGTATTATTTTGCTTTTGTAATTGTTAGTGTGAAGGACCAGAATGAAACAAATCAAAAACATATAATGTTATTTTTGTTGTGATCCGACCCATGAGTATGAGTATGAGGGGTGAGCCATAAAACTGGCCCTCACACTGCAACCTTCAATGATCTGTTGTGCTTCCCTTTGGATTAACCCTTTAATAAACTTACACTTCAAATGAAATGTTGGACTTTGTTTATGGGGTATCATAAAAGTAACTTGGTTCCATGAAGAATTGACCCAGGTGGTGACATCTTAACACTTTGCGGACCGGCAATTTAAATATTTAAATCACCCTGGGGACCGGCATTTGTATACCTACTACCCTAACTTGTGCACTGTTCACATTAAAAATTAATATAAAATCTCCAAATTAATTTTATGAACTATAATTTTTGGAGAACACTTACCAATGCTCCTAGAAGTGCTTGAAAGTGTGATATTCCTGGAAACATTCCCCTTTTTGAAGTGGCATTAACACTTTCAAATGTAGACAGTCATAGTCCTTTTTTTTACGAACTGCGCACACAGGGCATTGCCTAGAAGGATGTTTCCCCTTGGAATGTTCATCATCATCATCATCAGTAATCTGTCAAGATGACAGGTCCACAGTCTCTTTCAAAACAATTCCTCCACTTAATGCGATCTAGAGCTTTCTCCTTCAAATGACAGTATCCTCTTCTGTCCCCAAGGTCATCCAGCATCTTCTTACGTCTTCTTCCTCGTCTTCTTGTCACTTCTATCCGCCCATCTATCTTTCCTTCGATAGCTTCTTTTAGAAGGCAGTTTCTGCGTAAAACATGACCAATCCAATTAGCCTTCCGTTTTCTTATTTCATGTAGGATATTCCTCTGCTCACTGACTCTAATTAACACTTCTTCATTTCTCACATAATCGGTCCAACTGATCTTCTCCAT